AAGAAAGAAAGAAAGAAAGAAAGAAAGAAAGAAAGAAAGAAAGAAAGGAAGGAAGGAAGGAAGGAAGGAAGGGAAGAAGAAAGAGAAAACCTTCCAGGCAGGGGAGCTGAGGGGTAGAATGTGGCCTCAGTGAGAAAGTGAACTCAGGACAGTCCAAGGGCTGCATGTGTGTCTTGGTTTGGAATGTGATGAGGTGGACCACTCTCCCAAGTCACGTGTGGCTCATCCCTGTCACTGCTGCCTGCTGGACTCCACCATGCTGACAGTGGGACTCGAGGCCTCTTGGAGCTCCTGAGAAACGCACAGAGATCCTGCCACACCCAATGATCAGGGACCCAAGAGAAAAATATCATTTGGTAACAGAAAAAGAGGTTTCCATGGTTTTTGCCATGCTTCCTAGATCTCCCTGCCACCACCACTGTGTGTGTGGCCAGGCCCTGCTGTGTGCTCTGGTCCTGGTGGCATGGAATGTACTGGCCTGGGTTCACCTAGTGTGCTATGGGTGAACTTCATATAGCCAGATCAGGGGAGAATGTGGCCATTGATGTGTCTGGGGTCTGTGCTCATCTTGCTTGTCCTCGGGGTGGGTGGTAGCCATGGCTGCCTCACTTTCTCCTCAATTGCTCCCTCTGCTCTCTCCCTCTTTTCTTCCCCTTGAGCTTGAGGTGCAAGATGTAGGAGCAAAGATAGATAGATAGATAGATAGATAGATAGATAGATAGATAGATAGAATTTTGCACATATGGAAGTGAAAACTGAGGCCTGCAACACACTCAAGTGAGGACATGCAGACATGACTGGGTGTGCAGAAAACTTTGCCACTCTTGAGAACACAGTGAGGGTGCCTCTGTCAGAAACAGACACGGAGCTTGCAGCTTCTGATAAGTTCTGTGCTAAATAGATAATGAGTACTGATAATTGAGTTATTCCGAGGGAGAGAGCTTAACCTTACTTAATTTGACAAGCAGAAGCTTCCCAGTCATGGTTTTACGGTGAGCATGCCGTGAGCTATTACCGGCCGCCCCGTGGCTTCCTCCCAATGCCTGAGTCAGCTCACCGGCAACCCCGGACCTCCACATTCCAGCAGGAGAGATTTGTTACGTGGTAATTAACTTGTTTGTGATAAATGGGTGGAGGAAATGTCGTGGCATTTTGTTTTATGTCTAAATGAAAAGCATTTGCATTCTAAAAAAAAAAAAAATCCTGCTAATTAGGCTTAAAATAGTTTTCCCCCACAGGGTAACAAGTGCATTCCTAGCGGCCCTTTGGAGGTGCAGAGCCACCAAGCACAGACAGCAGCATGCTCCTTGGGCCCTCACTGTTCCAGGTCTGCTTGGCCTGGTGTTTCCCTGATGCCTCTGCTGGCGAACGCTGATGTTGCCTGCAGTGCAGCCATAGCTCTGTTTGTAGAATAATTTGCTTACAATCGCTGATGCATGCTAATATCTAAAAACGATGGTCAGGTTCCGAGGGCTATCAAGCAGCCTGCTCCAAGCCCTTCCATCAGGCTGGGGCAAGTGCTCAAGCCAGTGTCACTCTCTCTGGCAGATAAATTATTCATGCTCAACCTGCCCAAGGAGGCTGCAGGCCAGTGGGTGTGATGTCCTGCATTGTCCTTCCACAAGGAGCGCAGAGTCTGGGTCCACCTTGCCTAACCTCACAATGGAGGACGCTGTATGTGTGGGAAGGTTCCAGGTGTCTCAGGGGAGAAAAGGCTGTGTGGAGCGGATCCCACTGCAACCTCAGAGAAAGGAGACTACCAGTCGAGTGCCAGAAGGCCCCGGGCTTGGGTGTCACCAGAGGAGAGTCTCTGTGGGGTTCTAAATGAGAAAGAAGGCCTGCCATTGATGGCTTCCTTTATTTTTCCTCCTGTATCCTCTGTGAGCCTGGGACAGTCAGTGCGCCGGCCGCACTTGCTCCCTGTCAAACTGTCTCTCTTACATCCACCTTGAGGATTGCAGAGTTTACTGACTTGTCACTCAGTTCTTATCATATTTATTATTCTAAGACATACTTGGCCAACAGCCTAAGACTTAAATCAACAGACCCTTAAATAAGTGGGGGTAATTACACTCATACTACAAGGAGTGCTGAGATGTTATGGTCAAGGGCTGGGCCAGTAGATCAGAGCCAAGCCTATCACAAGCCTAATCTTTAGTCTTACCCTGATCTTTCTGCCATCTAGCTTGTTAGTTTATCGTGACATCATTGTAAACCAACTGCTGTGACTCTGCGTGTTGTATCCAAGTTCAGGGCAGAGGAGGAAATAGAAGATCCCTCTGTATTTCTTTCCTGTCTCAGGAAAACTTGCCTGTCTTGTAATCTCTGCAAGGGTTCTCACTGGCTACCACCAGGTCACATGGTGTTTTGAGCTGCACAAAATGCACTGTTGCACTTGGTTTAAACCCCTTGCTGGATGGGGAGCCAACTGATTGTCTCAGGACAAAATTGAGAGTCCTGTTTTTGGAAGGAGGAAAAGAAGGATACCATGCAAATAGCCTTAGTGCTTGCCACACGGCTTCTCCAATGAGAGTGTTTGTGCCTAAGAGAAGGAAGGCAGCCATGAATCAGTTGTTTCTTTCCCTCTTTCTCTGTATGTGTATATATACATACATGTATACATATATATATATATATATATATATATATATATATATATATATGTCTGTCTTTCTGTCTTTGTCTCTGTCTTTCTGTCTCTCTCTATATATGTATATGTATATGTGTGTGTGTGTGTGTGTGTGTGTGTGTGTGTGTGTGTCTCCCTGTCCCCCTTGGGTCTCAGCTATGCCTCCAAGTCACCATGTAGTTAGAAATGAAATGATCCTAAACTCTCCTGATCCTCAATCTTCTTTTTCCAAGAGATGAGAACTATGCCTGACCCTTGACCTCTAACCCCTGACCCATATGCTTATGAGAGGACAGCTGGGCAAAGGTCAAATAAGGCACCTGGGGTCAATGTCTAAGACATTGGTGAAGCCTACCAAGCACTGCCTTCTAGAGGTGCTGTCTTCCTGGGTGTTTTTTGAAGATTTATTTTTAATTATATATATATGTGTTTACCTGCATGTATGCATATGTACTAGGTGCATGCAGTGCCTGTGGAGGCCAGAAGAGGGCATCAAATTCCTTGGAACTGAAGTGCAGCCCTTTATGAGCCATCACGTGGGTGCTGGGAACCAAACCTGGGTCCTCTGCAAGAGCAGCAAGTGTTTTTTAACCACTGAGCCATCAGTGCCCACCCCCAATCATTCTCTTATAATTCATCAAGAAGTGTCTCTTTGCTCATGAGTTTGATGGGACCCAACTCCAAACTCAAGTGATTCTGGCAGGGCAGAGGGCTTGGCCAGGTAAATATGTTCACTGTATTCTGGTCCTGTGAGCCTCTTTGGGGAGCTGGACAGTGCCAGAAGTGAACAGCCTGGAAGTGGCATTCTTGGTCAACACATGGCAGAGCGGGAACTTCTATGAGGGCTGAAATCAAGATACTAACGGTGTGTCTGCAACCTTCAGACCCCACAGGCTGCCTAGCCATGGCCCTCCTCTCTCATTTGGCTGACTATGGGCCCCATTTAAAATGTGTAAAGGCTTAAATCCCCTCTTTCTGGTCAGTGGTATTTAATTAGGTTAGGCTTCTGGGAAAGCTAGACTTTTAATTATTTTTTTTTCTGACATAGAAAAGACTAAGCTGGCCGTGCCTGAGTCCCTTTCCTTCTGTCTGGAACACAGACATGATTCCTGGTGGTGGACTAGCATTTTTGTGACTGTCAGGATGGTGGAGCTGGCCTGGTCACAAGTCACCCTTGAATC